AAAAGGTACGACTCTTGCATTGCTTTGGTGTTTTTTGCCCATTTTCTTTACATTTATTCCATAAAAAATCAGACTTAAAACTGCAACAGCGATTTCCGGACTTATAGTTGTGGCACCACAAAGAAGACTCTCGTTTAAGGTGTGGTGGAGACGTTCGTTGCACTCAGTGCCTTGTCCCGGTGGAAGTCCTGATAAACATCCCTTACGTATATGTATTTTTAAATTTTCCAGTTCTTGTAGAGTTTTAGTTTGAGTGTTACAGTTCAAAAGTTCTCTCCATCTAATAAGGAAATTGTTTAGATWTTGTTCAATAACATCAGGTTGCGGCGTTTGCTGATTGCGAAGGTGTCCACAATCTCCGTCGTTGCGAAATATTAACCCAAAATCTTTAGATATTTGTCTCGATGTTTCAGTACCTTTTGGAAAAGTTTTCACGACTCTCTGTACAGCATGAAACAAATCCAACTTGACGACCACGCCCGGAAAGACTGATTCATATTGTTTTCTCACTTTACAACAATCATCGACGATAACCGTTTCAAGCCCTTCTCTCATAACACTCTTTAAATATTGTAATAAATCTTTAATTTCCTCAAACGCCGTTGATCTTGTAAGCCGCCAGCCTACGATTTGGCGATTCTCGTTCATCACTATGTATAAGTTTTCAAATTGCCGAATAAACCTGTTGTCACTAGCTCTTGAAGCCCCGATATATTTACTAATTCTAAAAGTATGGTCGCATGTTATAATTTTACTAACTTGTGCGCATTTTTCCATTTCCCTTTTATAATTCGGTTCTTTGTCATTAAAGTCAGCTAAGAATATTTCCATAATTTTGTCGTTACTTGGAAACGAAAACAGAATATTGCTGTAAAACCCTTCAAAATCATTCTGATCCGAATCATTTCCACAATGATTGTGAAAGAGAGAATAACGTTCCATTTTTTCACAGTACTCTTTAAAATTTGTTGCAGCAATCCCAGCGGAGATTTGTAGAAAATTGACTCCTTGAATGATCTGGGTTTCGATGAAGTCAACKAACACCTTTGTGCAAGCAGATTTATAAAACATCTCAATAGGAAAACATCCAACTCCATACAATTTTRGTATACAGCGTAAAATATCCATACTAGCAGATAGATATTTGTGATGGTTTCCTCCTTGTTTGCAAATGTACACTCTTTGAATTAATAAAATGTTACCTCTCAAATCATATACATATATTTGAAGTCAATTAAAGGACAACAACAGCAACAAACTTGTGTTAATTAACAGGATAATTTGGTCAACTACGTACTACTACTACTGAGAACCACTATAGAAGCCTAAGTTCAAGATTCAGACATACTGACATCATCATCTGAATCTCGTACACATAATCTTCATCATAACCTGTATCACTATAACTGAACGAAGTTAAAAATTGTAGATCCATCAGTGATTTAATCTCTAAAATGGCACTCTTGGAGAATATCTTCTCCTCTTTACCATTTTCGGCCATTTCACAATATCCCCTTTTTAATTCCTGATATCCCAGTGTAATAGAGTGAAGAGAAGTGACCTTCTGGTGTACAATTTTGGGGTTATTTAATAAAATGAAAGCGTTTTAATTTTGTCGTCTGTGATCGATTTAATGTACTTTAATTTAGATAGCATTTAAAATGCTAGTTTTATCGCAACGGGCATCCTTTTTATCCACACTTACTTTACAGTATTCTCTGTAAGAAAGAATGACTTGGTTTAAGGCTCACTTTTGAATCAAAAGTGATCGGAATTTAGTTGTAAATATACATTGTGAAAAGCCGCGAATTTTGAAGGGTTGCGCGTATGACGTCACTTTCTTTGAATCACTAAACGTTGAACACAATCGCTTAATGGCGGACTCAAACGGTCAAACTTTACAGGCTAAATGCAACATCTTCCCAGTCTCGAATCRAAAAAGAATTAGGACAGTAAACTAAATTACATATTTATATATATATCCAGGGATGGTGTAGTTTTCGTAAGACTAGCACTTTAAAGAAAGGTGGAAGAGCTAATTAGAGGAATTAATGGGATCAGGGCCATCAAATATTAAACCTAGTGCAAAGGAAGGTTAGGACTTGACATTAACATTAACATTTGGGTTGCAACCCCCAAAACCCACGTCTAGATCCGCCACTGAGTTTTTTGATTGGTTAACCCCCCAAAACGCAAGGCATTATGGGGGTGTGAAATGGGAGAATTAGGGATTTCCGACAAAGTGGAATTTGAACCAAATAAGGTATTCCTTTGGCTTCATACAACCAAACCGTTTATAATAGGTTTTGACGTTTGTCCGTCGTAGGAAGAAGCAAGGCCAAAAGGTTGGTCCCGGGTCAGTTTATTGTTAAAAGGTGGCTACTTATGACTTGTTTGATATGATAGAGTGAGTCTTCCGCATAAGGTACTGATCAAAGAAGACAATGACCAACTGCTTCTTTATAAGGTATTAGGTGTGTAAAGCTATCCAATCACAATCATGATATATTTGCTCAACCAATAAAAAAAATTGTTTTACTAACTACAGTTTGGTTGATAACAAAAAAATAATGATTGGCAGGTTTCTGAATCTTAATTTCATGCATGATATATTTGCAGTGAATACACATGATAACAGTGAATACACATGATCACAGTGAACACACATGA